TACAGCTCAATCTCTAACTCACGCCACCTAGCGGCCTCCTGTAAATCCAACAAAGTATCACAATGTTGGGTAGCAACAAACTGACGGATGTTAGTCTTGAGCATGCTCAGATAACGTGTCATCTGAGCCTGCTCAGAAGAGAACTCCGGGCAGAACATCGCCCTCTCTTTGAACATGCGGGTGATCTCCTCCACTGTCTCACCATCCTGTCTCAAATCCAGAAACTCTTGAGCTAGCCGCTCTCCCTCGACCAGTGGGATGTGGCGAGCGCGAAACATATCCCTGAACTGCTACCAAGTAACCGCAACCCTCTGGTCATCAGAATACGATCCAGTCATCAATCTCCACCAGTCCTTTGCCCCAGACCTCAGCAGGTTCAGGGCACATCTGACCTTCTGGTCAGTAGGACATTAACACGTGAAGAAACACCTCTCCACGTCAGATAGCCACCTCATGGCTTTGATGGGGTACTGAGTCCCATCAAAAGAAGGGGGCTTCGTGTTGTCGAAGTACCGATACTAAAAAGCCCGACTGGCTCCTCCCCCTGCCGCTGTTACAGCCGTTGTAGCTGCTGCGGCAGCCGTCTCAGCTAGGGCTGCATATCTGTCATCAAAGTACTCCATCATGGCGGTCTTAATAGATCCAAACATCTCCGGAATCTGACCCCGAACAATCTCGACCACCTCCTCGCGGATGATCTCCCTGACACGATCCTCTGTCAACGCTGGCCCACCCTGGCTGATAATCTCGGGCGCTGTCGGGGCATCCTGAACGCCCTGCCCAACCTGACCCATTCAGTTTATTGTATCACAGGTAGCGGTATGAAAGATAGATCCTGCTGAGAGATTCAAGGAGTATTAGGCCACTAGTTTAATTACTGTAAGACTTGTAATATTTCATTATGCTTATGTTTCTGTATTCACGATGACATCCCAATGGTTTAAAATAAATAAAATACATTTCTTTGGAAATGCTTTGATAATATCATTATCATGTTTTATGGGAACAAATTCCGCAATATTATTCTTCAAAAATGATACTCTGATTTTTTAAAATAAGCATAACTAAATTTTTTAAAATGATCGTGACTTCGGGGATGTCACAGTTGGTATCAGAACATTATTTTAAGCGAACTAGGAATTTTAGGAAATTTCTAGACTTAAACTTAGAATCCTAAGCGATGATTGTGAGATAAGAGTCTGCTATATTTAGGAAGTATGCATGAATAGACACGAGCACTAGCTTATTTAGGGAAGATGCTTGAATTGCTTTTATGTTCCAAAATGATTTATTCTATAAAGTACCTTATATGCTTTATGATGCTAACGTTTGATCGGATCTATGGCCTGTTTCCGAGCGGATCTGGAACTTTATGTGTTCAGATTTCTAAACATTTAATTACGATATTAGAACTGACATGTAACTTTTCGGAGTAATAAGGAGGATTACGCGTCTAAATCTTCTCTATCTTAATTTTTTCTCGTCTCAAACAACCATTACGGTGTATGGAATATCATGATAAGGACTCGTACCAGACTGAGAAAATAGAGGAAATAAGAAAGTTGATGATAGTGAATGATACATATCGGAAGATATCATAAGAGTGGGATCTTGACTTTAGAATGCGCCTAATAAATAATACGTCTAGTACGGGAGAAATACACTTTCGATTGGCAGAAAGAAAGATTTTTTGGTATAATCCATGAAGTTATCCCATCTTCTGGCATTTCCACCACTAACTGAGTTGAATCAGAATTGTTGTTAAAGATACGCATGGAAGAAGTCCTAGTAGAGTCTAAGGAAAATTTAAGATTATTTGGACACATTCGTATCAGTTAAATCATTTTGTGATTTTAGGAAATAAGAACTTGGGGACTACGAGGTAATTCTTGGGACGAGTATGAGTAGGTGTGAAAGGTAGTAGAGGCCTATACTACCGGAAGCACAGGACTCACACTTGGATCAGGGAAAGTTACAAGGTTACCAATGCACTAGTAATTGATTTTGTTTTGTTCATGTATGTCGTTACCATCGTTTCGGTAATGAATAAGAAGATGATTGTTATTCTGAACCTAGTGGTCATGTCAAATCGAGTCCGACTAAGATAAGTATGTTACATGGTTCAGAGAACCAAGATCAATGTAGCATCCGATTTAAGCAAGAAGATTGAAGTAAAAGATAATCGAAGCGATCAATAGAAGTATCACAATCGCAGTTAAATCAAGAGCTTGTAGCTAGAGGTGCTACATGCCATAATGTGATTATATCACATTATAACATGAAGGAAGGTATCTTCCATTCTAGAATCTGACTCAAAAAGACCTTAGTCTAAAGCGTTGAATCATACGATGAGAGGTTATTAGAACATGACCCATCGGTCTGTTACGGTAATTGAAGTAAAGAACTTATCTTAAGTTAAGTCTGTTAAGAAGGAGTAGGAGTCTCCAATAAGGACCGAGTTTGTAACTCGAAGGTTACGAATGAAAGTCCAACATAGGATAAAGAGCAAGTGCAAGATTGAACACCATCAGCAGTTAAGAAGTCCACGAGTTAGATACTTATTTGAAAGGACATAAGAGTTACGGTTATTACCTAGGATGAAAAGATAACATATGGAGTCATTATACAAGACCTGTTTTGTTGATGATTTTGGGACGTAATCATCATAAGGAGGGGGGGATGATTGTAATGCCCGCATATTCGGGCTAGTCAATCTAGAGATAATAAGTGTTAAAAATGACTTTTTGATAGATGATTATTTAGGATAAATAATCTTAACCAAAGTTATATTATATGTCACAAGGATTTCGTACATATAAAGAACGCTGAAATCTGACTTATAACGAAAAAGTTATGACCCGTTGAAGTTTCGTGATTAAACCGGCACGGCTCTGCGTAACATAAAAAATGAATTTTTGATAAATTACTTCATAGCCTTAGTAATTTAAACTAAAATCATAGTATTCGTTAAAACAAGAGCGTGCATATTGAGAACGTCCAAATCTGACTTCATAAGAGGATTCTTATGATTTTCGAAGTTTCAGCGTAGCAGTATACAACTCAGAAATCGAATTTTAGATCGGTCAATTTTTAGCCAAAATGATCTAAATTACAACTGAATACCTCATTAATATAAGTTTAACGATAAAAATACAGTCGAAAACGGAGTCCGTACGTAGAAGTTATGAATTTTACATGGTCGTTATCAGTGTAATCTTCTCAGACTGTTTAATTTATAATCAGCCGAGAATTAGTCGATGAGGTCAAAAGGAAAGTTGTGGATCTCGTCAATACGTACGCGTGGATATAAAGAACGTCAAAAACGGAGCTCGTATACGAAAGTTATGAATTTTTTAAGATTGGTTGTTTTACCTGCGTCCTACGCCACATGTCAGCACCAGGCGAAGCCTTGGTACCTACGCAAGCTCACGACGTGAGAGGCAAGTCTCACGATGTGAGCAGCCCCTTGACAACCGATAAATAGAGCTGAATTTCACTCATTTCATCACACCTTTCCATTCCATTCTCTCCCAAACCCCCCAAGGTCCTAAGACGTTTTCTCTAGCACTTCCTAAGTGTTAGTAGCGAGCCTCGGAGTGCCGGAAAGCCCCGAGAAGTAGAGCTTTCGACTTAGAAGTTCTGCCTACGTAGAGTCTGGTTTGTCGTTAAACCACCTGTAAGTTGAATTATGCTTACCGTACTTTAAGTATAACTTATGTTTAAGTTCATTATCGTTATTATGAACCTATAAACAAGATTTATCAGTGATTCTAAATCATTATACTGATTGATCTACTTACAGGAGAGGTGTCTAGAACGGTCATGTTGGCTTGGTTGTTGGATTTCAAAAAGGTTATACACCGAAATGGTCCTTCCTCCCAATTGTCCTACCTGGTTGATCCTTACTTAATAGATCGTGAAGTAGACTTTGAGTTAATGATGAATCTAGACTAACAATTAGTCGCAATAAATGTTAGACTAAAACTTAGTGATAATGACACTAGGTTTCGTCATAGGAAAAGACAGTTGCTAGAAGCGAAGCGCTGTCCGAGTTTCGAGTCGTCACTTTAACAAGTGAGTGCATAGTCCATTTCATGAACATGATTTTAATACAAGTATTAATTAAAGTATTAAATATATGTTTATGTGTGAAATATTTGATATATCCTGAAATACGTGTTAAGAGCATATCTGATAATATATGATGATTTAGGATACAGAATAAACCTAAATTAATTAAGATGAATATCAGGTAGTATCTTCTTATTAGTACGGGTGAGATATACACTGAGGGTAGAACTTTAAAATTTTCCATTCATCCGAGAGCATGGATTAGACATAGTCATTCGTCCCTAGTCCGAGAGTATGGAGTGGGCATAGTCATTTGTCATTGATCCGGGAGCATGGATTAGACATACCTGATCCGGGAGTATGGATTAGATAAGTTGTTAATTTTAGATCCGAGAGTATGGATCCTGTCGTTGTGAGGATCGACAGGGTGGGGTAAAATTTCTTATATGAGGTGAAATTGTATATTGCCAGTTCTAATATATATATATATATATATATATATATATATATATATATATATATATATAACATTGTGGGATTGAAATCCCTGCGTACTTGCCATGTTTCCCGACCTGACCCACTCAGTTTATTGTATCACAGGTAGCGGTATGAAAGATACATTCTGCTGAGAGATTCAAGGAGTATTAGGCCACTAGTTTAATTACTGTAAGGCTTGTAATATTTCATTATGCTTATGTTTCTATATTAACGATGACATCCCAATGTTTTAAAATAAATAAAATACATTTCTTCGGAAATGATTTGATCATATCATTATCATGTTTTCTAGGAACAAATCCCACCATATTATTCTTTAAAAAGGATACTCTGATTTTTAAATAAAGATAAATAAAATTTTAAAATGACCGTGAATTTGGGGATGTCACAATTTTCCAGACATAGTACAACTAAGAGAAGATGTGAATGGTATGAATTTATATGCTTTCATCACATATATTGAGAAGATTATCAACTTTCAGTACATATGTGTGTATTTATGTCAACCTGAAGTCAAATTGAGTGAGGAGATAGATGCACTAGAAAACGATTGTGATTACACTGAGTTTCTTGAGGCTGCAAATGGAAGTACCATGCATTTGAATATGTATATTGATCATGATCATGAAAATTTGTTTGATTGGATTGAGATGGAAGAGCCAGAACCCGAGGAACCTCGGTATGAAGATGAAGATGTTGACTCCATTATGGCAGATAATGATAGGTGTGATCATGAAGAGGATGATGAAGTTATATCAAGCAAAAGAACCTTCAATGAATGATCACTTTCTGAACAAGTTATGTCTAGTAGAGCATTAATATGAAGACTATAATGAACAACCAATTGTCTACCCTAGACACGATGCTACTCAGGAATGGAAAAGATGGAGCTTGAACTAGGTATATGATTCTCCTCTCATGTTGAACTTAAGTAATCTCTTAGTAACTATGTAATAGCACATTGTCATGACTTGTATTTTGAGAAAAATGACAAAGAAAAGTGTCTTGTAAAGTGTTGTAAATGAAAAAAACCACAATGCCCTTTTAGATTATGGGCTTTGTGGATGAAAGCGGAGTAAACATTTCAAATAAAGTTTTTTTGAAAAGACCATAGCTACTTAAGGGCATTCAAAATTAGGTCAACTGTAACCTACAAGTGGATAGGGAAACAATTTGTCAATGATATTTTGGATTATCCTAAAATGATTTTGATGAAGATTAAATCCCTGATATCCAAGTCATTCAACATAAATGTCAGTCTTGAACAATGTAGGAATGAAAAAATATTTGCATTGTGTAAAATTGAGGGTAGTTTGAAGGATCATTATACCAAGTTGTGGGATTATGGAGCTAAAATTATAATGTCCAATCTAGGATCTCATGTTCAAGTGTATGTTAAGTCCCAAAATGATTCATTTGTGGTGTTTGAAATATTTTATGTAAGTTTTAAAAGAGTGGTTGATGGTTGGTTAGGTGGTTGTAGGAAGGTTTTTGGGGTAGATGGATGCTTTCTGAAGGGAATATGAAAAGGGGAGTTCCTCTCAATAGTAGGGAGGGATGTTAACAATCACATATACCCTATAACTTGGGCAGTAGTGAATGTTGAGAACAAGAGTACATGGAAGTGGTTTTTAGACAATCTAATGGAAGACATAGATGGATAGGGAAATGGTAATGGGGTCACACTGATGTCAGATGGACACAAGGTACATGTTTTCCTTAGTATCATTGTTTAAATTCCCTTACATACACTAACATTAAAAATCAATGCAGGGTTTAATAGTACACTTGGTTTGGTGACTGTCTTTTGAGAATTAGGCCAAATTTTGATGTAAACTACTATATTACCCTTACTGGTAACCTACTAACTTTTGATGCCCTTTTAGTAATGGAATCAAATATGGTATCTTGTGTCATTTGTGTTTTTTCATTTTCATCTTTTATTATTACCAATGCATTAGTTTATTACCAATGTTTTTTAGTGGGGATCACATGTCAATTACTTGTCTTTGTTTATATCAATGTTAATTGTGTTTTATCCTTGTTGTTTGGTTGTTGGAATGAAATGGCAACCAAATTCAATATAAATCACATTTTCAAATACCAAATTCAATACCATTTCATTAAATACCAAATAACCACATATGATTCAATACCATTTATATTCATATACCAAACTTCATTCAAATGCAAAACTTCATTCCTTTTTGATACATAATAGGTACAAAACTGACAAACGATAGCACCAATATTATTATCAATACCAGTACCAGAACCAAGTCTCACTATTCCTCATCCACTTAAGTTGGTATCCAAAACAAAAGATGATAAGTACAGACCCTGATTTCTTGGGGTAATGAGTTCAACATGGTGTTGTTGGTTTTATAATTAAAATAGTAAGAAGATCAAGTGTGTGATTGTTATAGCCATTCTACCTTGTTTTTGTTTTGGTTGAATAAGGAAGTGATGAAAATAGGTATTTCGCATTTGTGTGTAATAAATGTGGTTTGTGGTGTGTATAGAAGGTTAACTTACCCAACTCTTAATTGGAATATTCGTAGGTTTATTCCTATTGTTTTATATGGGATATGCAAATAGTTAGCATGATGTGTAGTTATAATGTTTTTCTTAGATTGGGTTGAATATAATAGAAAGCAGCATGAATTGTGTTTTTATTTGCATTAGTCTTGATTAGAAATCATGGTGGGTTTGTACACGACTTAACTACTTTTTAAAGGACTCCGATTTAGAGATGTGGGCTAATCACAAAAATTACCAAAAAGAGAAGCATGACTAAATTATTAGATTTCCTAACCTTTTCTTAAAATGATCATTGTTTTTTTTTGCGAAATACTCTTGCAAACTAATACTTATTAAATTTTCCAAGTAACAACTTGACTAAAAATAAATTTGATAACTTAATGTTCATGACCATATATCTAATGATTCAGGAAGATGTCAAGGAACTACTTCTGTCCTCTGGTATGATGTCCTCTGGTATGATTTATTGACTAACTGTTAGTTTTACATTACAACAATCATGACTATTTCCTGTGAACTTCTCTTATAATATCCAAATTTCTTCCAAAATCTCCTTGATTGCTCCCAAATCTCCTACTCAACAAGGGTATATAATTACCCAAAGTAAGTATTACTAAACCAAAAGCCATAATAAGATTAATTTACATGTTATTATTTGATCAGTGTAAATTTGACAAGTCCATCTTTTTATAACTGTTAAATGCATTTTGCAATTAAATTTCACAAATTAAGTACAAATTTGTGAAATCATTCAAAATTAAAACGTTCAAATGCTTGTTGAAATCTATCATGGATCGTCTACTTGTGTAACAAACTTGTGAAACACAAATGACTATTTCACGAATTAATTAAGAACATTATAGATAAGAATAATATAAATCATGTTTGTTGACCGCTATTAATGATCAATTATTGCTATAACCTATTGAAGTAATCAAACTTACCCAAACACACACAAGATTAAAACAAAAGAACATAATGAGAATAAGAACCGTGATAACTAAAGTGTAACATCCATAAAAATCATGCTAAATTTAAACTTTTTAAAACATTTCAAAACCAATGATTATTACAAAACTTGTTTTCAAAATAACTCAGTGTCAGAGTATCCCAGAATCAAATCATAAACAATAGGAGGTGTACGATCATGCATTCGCCTTCCCACGATCATCAGAAGTACCTGAAACAAAATCAACAATTGTAAGCCCGAAGCTTAGTGAGTTCCCCCAATATACCCATACACACATCAACATATACATAAACACAAACAGCATACTATGGGTCCAGTCAACCATCGGGTTGGAATACACCGGACCCTCAACCATCAGGTTGGAATGCCAACATACTATGGGTCCAGTCATCCTCGGGATGGAATACCCCAGGCCTACAACCATCAGGTTGGACTGCCCTCATACTACGAGTCCAATCATCCTTGGGATGGAATACTCACAACCTACAACCATCAGTTTGGAATGCCGAGGTCTGTTGGCTCTCGCACAAAGCAGATGAGCCTCAACCACCAATCAAACATGTGCACATATATCGGATAATCACATAACAGTCTATAGACAGACAAACCAATCTAACAGATCATACTAGCATAACATCATCCTATCTATCAGGATACTGATCTAACAGATCATAGCAACATAATACCATCCTATCTACCAGGATACTGATCTAACAGCTCATACTAGCATAACATATCAGGATAACAATCCAAAAGGGTCGGCCTTGGTGCCTTAGACCCTTGAGTATAGTGAGGAAACTCACCTCACTCATGTCGAACTGTAGTGATAATGCAAAACTCTAGAATCGCAGCCACGAACTAAACCACCTATCACAACCATAGGACCAAGTCCATCAGAATCCCAATTTACTAAAATACCCTCAATAGTCCAACTGGTCAACCCTTGGTCAATGTCAAAGTTTAAAGTCAACGGTCCATGTTGACTCGACTCGTCGAGTGCAGCTAGCAACTCGTCGAGTTCCTTAAGAACTCAGAAAGTCATGAAACCCTAACTGACTCGCCGAGTTTCCAACCAACTCGTCGAGTCCATGCGTTTCTAGAAGTCGGGGAAAACCCTTACTGACTCGTCGAGTCCCCTTACTGACTCGCCGAGTCCATGCAGAACCCAACCACAGTCAATCTTCATCGGACTCGCCGAGTCGTCTATGCGACTCGTCGAGTTAATGCAATCCATTTCTTATACAGATGTTTTTAAGCCACCCCAAAGCTCCATATTGCAGATCCAACCTCCTAGGGCATGGTTTCCACGTAAAGTTACAAACTTTACGTGCATGCATGGTACTAAATGCCAAAACTAGACTAAGGGAAAGGTTAACTCAAAGGGAAGGACCCAAGCTTGCCAAATCTCATAACTTTATGGCTAAAGGGACCAAGGGGAGTCCAGATCTGAAGTTATAACTTCAGATCTTAACCCAACACTCGAAATGACTTCCAAATATCCTAAGGATGGCACTAAACTTAGACATGAAGGGATCTAATTAAAGGTAAGCCAAGGTAACGACTTGATACCTTCCAAATGATCCAAGGTGAAGTAGAGTCAGATCCACAAGCTCCTCTTTGCTCCAAGCTTCTTATACTTCACACCCTCTTCACAAAAATGCACCAAAATCACTCTTTAAGCCTCACAATCACTCAAGGGCAAGGTTATTGGCGATTAGGGTTTCTTTTGGCCGTCAAGGGGTGATAAGGGACTGGATGAAAGGACTTAAGGACCTTTAAATAGGGTGCAAACCCTAAAAATTAGGGTTTCATCTCCCAGCTCCTTCTCGTCGAGTCCGGGTCCTCCGACTCGTCGAGTAGATCCAATAATCCATGCGGGCTAACCCGCCTCTATACGACGAGTTGGGGGCAACCAACTCGTCGAGTAGGTCCATAAATATGAATATAATGCTTTAAAACTTGTACCTGGGAGTCAGGATGTTACATAAAGGCTTTAAAACTTTCAATAAACAAGATAACCTGGCAATTGGAGAAGCCAATTTTCACCCAAAAGGTAATAATACCAAAAAAGAACAAATTACTGAAATCGTCCCTATAGTTTGGGTAACGTTGCGTGTTTGGTCCATATCTTTTATTTTCCACTCGGACCATCCTCACCTTTTATTTTTATTACGCGCCTGGTCCTACTTCCATTTGTTGTCTATCCCACACGTTAAGACCCCCACGTGCTTGGCACATGAGGGGTATTTTCATTCTTTTATTTCAAAAACT